TGGGACGGGACAGGAGTGAAAATCCACTCCCGTGTCAGTCTCCAGTCTGTAACATGGGGTGGTGCGCTGTCACCAATGGTTCCATTCAAGGGGCGCAGTCACTATTTTTCCGTGTGTGATCATATACTGCTGAGAATAGCATAATTGTATCTTCTTGGCCGATTTATGGAACTGTGGCCGTATCCTGAACCTTTATCACGTCTTGTACTTCATATGGGGCCCACCCAGATAATGCTGCTTACGGGCCTATTGCTGTGTCGCTACGCCATTGCTCTGGAAGCAGACTCCTCGGAGGTTTTTGTGTTCTCTGTTTCCTCCCTTCTCTCCCCTAGTTGAATCTCATTCAGTTGAACTGTTTTGCCTCACCAGATGCTGGAGCAGGCAATGCAAAGTTATTCAAATCAACAGCTTTTGTTATCAGGCAGCTGGCTTCCATTGTGGTTCAAAGAATCTTTAAAGCCGTTGTTCTGTCAGATGAGCATACCTATAGTCAATACGTATGAGCAAGACGTCAGATTTGTGTTTATTCATAGTTTTGTTCAAATAATAAACTTTAAAAGCCTTTAACAGGCGTGTATCCCTTTAGTCCTGTAGTCAGATCGTCATAGGCTTAAAAAAACACCAAAGAGTAAGCTTTTTTTTTTTGTACACAACTAAAGGATACACGGCCATTAAGGTAGTTTAAATTTTATTTTTCGTGACAAAACTAAAGGGTATTGATTATGGGTATGCTGGTCTGACGAGGTATGCTCATCTGACAGAACAACGGCGTTTTTTGCAGAGGTCCGACAGTCAAATTATAATTTCTTTGAGTTTTTGATCTCCACAAGTTTGACATCACTGGAAAGTTTAGACTCTTTCAGGATCTGTGAATAATGGCCCTCAGGAGCTCAGGTCAGATGCTGGTTGGTAAAACCACATTCTAGCATAGAAATTTTTCTATGCTTCTCAAGTTTTCCCACCCTATGAATCACATCTCTACTTGGCTTTTTAATATCATTAATAATCATCATCATCATGATGATAATGATGATGATTATTATCATAATAATATAATTAATAATCATTTATTCATGGTGACCTTAGTGCAGCATTGCTATCCAGAAACGCAAACAAACATGCTCTAAAAAAAGCAACAATTGTGCTTTTTTTTTTTTAGGGCAGTTCAATCTACCTTGTTTAGAAACACTTCAGCCTTCTGAGTTTATCAGTCAAACTACAAGAGCCTGACCTTTTGGGGGCAGAGAACCTGACTTAGAAATTACAATAAGTTTCTACTGGTTGGAAGTATTGGAAAAAATAATCTGTTCTAACTCAGCTGTTGTTGGATATATTTTCTGTAAATAAATAAAGAAATATATACATTCCCAACTGATTAAAGAAAATATATTTTATTGAGGACTAAAATGTTTATATTTAATTTTCAGATCAAGATCCATAAAGTTTACAGCCTGTCTGTGTCATCAATGACTCCAACCTGTATCATCATTTAGAGCAGGGGTCACCAACATGGTGCCCGCGGGCACCA